GATTGATCACAGATTACTGTCCGATTGATCACAGATTACTGTCTGATTGATCACAGATTACTGTCTGATTGATCACACATTGATCACAGATTACTGTCTGACTGATTTGGGTTTGAACGTCTCGATTCGTGAGAAGTTACAGAAGCATGACATCTGCCAGTGTGAACTGGATTAACCCAGAAGACAAACAGACTCTGATGTCTGTAACTGACGGGAACATTTCAGAAACGCTTCTAAAAATGCTGCAGTGCTACGATCACACCAACTGATCATCTGAGGGTTGAATCACCCTCAGAGATATGAAGAAAAGCCTGTATATTGAGTTTGCTAAGTGCACGCTGGGAACAGTGTGAAGTGTCTTAATCAGATCAGAACAGAACATGGGCGGCTGGCACAGATCCAGCTTTGATAATGAACCTGAGAGATCATCATCCTCGGCAGGAAAACCTCCTTCACACTCTGAGAAGGTCGCTCAGCCCAGCGCTCACAGGATTCATCTCTAACCCTAACCCTTCCAGCAGAACTGGACATGAAAGGCTGCAGCTCTGCCTGTTTAACAGAGAGATGAACAGCATCATATCACAGTTCAGAGTCTGGATCAAGCTGGAATGACAGAAGTTCTCTGATGTTGGACGTGGCGCTGCGTGGCAGCTCAGTCTGGTCGCCACTTTGTTTACTGTCATGTCTTCTTGTATGAAATCAGTTCAGTATGACCTCCTCGGAAACACACCAATCCCACACTGACGCCACACGAGGTAGTCATGGAAACTGCTGCGTTGCTGCAGCGACCAGGCCACCTCCTGTGGTAACACCTCAGCTTCTGCTGCAGCTGTATGTCAAACAGCACAACAGAGCAACATCACACAGTGTCATCAGTCACAACACAACACTGCTGTTTCCAGGTGAATCCAGGTACACCGAGCTGCAGCGTCACCTCTCTGTTTCAGCTGCTACAGGTAGCCTGTTCCTCCACAAACAACGGGTTCATCCTGGAAGGCTGCTGGTGAAAGTAGCACCTGAAGATGCTGAGAGCAGATCAGCCAACTGATCACCAGAACACCTGGACAACCTGAACCTGCAGCCACCAGTTGGATGTGAGCATCTCTGTCTCAGGCAACCTGCAACTGACACACAGAAGTGAAACAGAGGAAGGAATCTGCTCCATCACGTTCTCACTGAGAAGAGACTCCATGAGGCCACAGAGTCCTTCAGATTCAGCAGAATCAAAGTAAATCTCTGCAGCAGCAAAGGAAGGCACCATGAAGTCTGACAGCAGCAGACTGAGGCTGTGATGGATTCCACTGCAGCCCCGAACAAAATGAAAGTGAACTCCAAATCACATTAAGAACATAATGGGCCAGTTTCCAAAGCACACAGAGAAGCAAACCTCCAGCTGATTCACTCTGAGAGCAAGAAGCTGATCTGTGAGCTCTGACACACCACCAGATCCAAAAGGTTCTGACATTAGAACTATAACTGTCAGGTTCTGTGCTCAGAGATTCAGCCAGACAGTTTTCAACTGACACACACGAGTCTCCACAAATGTCCAGATTAAAGTGAAGACTGAACAGACGGAGGTGGTTTGAGTGAAACCTGCATTAAAGATCACTCACATTCTCCTTGTGCTCCAGACTCCAACGCTGGTCAGCTCACTGAAGATGCAGCTTTAAGGAAACTCCCTCCAGGATGAAGACTTTCAGAAGCTCTGTCTGCAGAGCTGATGTCTCCACAGATAAACTGGTGTTAAAACCCAACGAGTCTGGACTCACTGAGGGTCATGTGGAGTCAGAAGGTTCAGAGACTGTTTCTGATGTTTCTGAGTTCTACCTGTGCAGCAGTAACAGTCAGCAGAGTCCAGATGGTTCTGGACCATCAGTGATGATCAAGCTTCATGTGGAGGATCGTCATGGTGACCAGAGGAGGGTCTGTGGTTACCATGGTTACCACCTAGAGACCAGTTTAACAGGGGAAGAACCGGAGGAGGAGGTCAGGAGCTGCTGCTGGTTCCTTCAACATCCTCCAGACTGAACTCAGAGTTCTGCTGAAACGTCCTGAGAACGTTCAAGCAGCTGAACTGAACACAATCATCTCCGTCCTCCTCCAGATCCATCTCCCTGTGACTTCTTCTCCAACACTGAAGTCCAGGTGAGGTTTCTGTGGACTCAGTGTAGGAGGTTCACATCAGGTGGAGCCGACAGAACGGTAGAAGGTTAGGGAGGAGCTCTGGCAGCAGAGCAGCAGGACACACATGGAGGCTGATTTCAACCAGAAACATCATGTCTACACGCGACCTGGACGATGGACTTCTGATGCATGAGACCTGCTGCAGTGGTTTAATCTGTGACCCTGTGCTGATGAAGGCCGGGTCAGGCTGAACCTCAGTCACTTGAGGTTTGAAGCCAAAGAAGACGAATAAGAAGCACTTCAGATACGCGGCGTCTCCATGAACAGAGTCTGCGGTCAGCTCGGGTTATGAAACCGTGGACTGGACTGAAGAGCAGCTTTCAGGTCACACACTCCAGCTGGAACCAGCCTCTACAAACACGAGTCAGTCTGGAGACTGTTGGGAAGAAATGCAGGTTTTTACTTGGTCTATTAGCGTCTGCAGGTTTTTATTACAACGTGTTTTCCTTCCTGCTCCGTCCATCCATCATCCAGGTCTGTTCCTGTTTATATGCTGCAGGTTGTGCACTGACGGCTTCAGGTTTCATTCACAGCCTGATTCATGCAGCATTTTACTTGTTGCCTTTATTCTGTCGTACTTTCAGATTCATGGAGCGATAGAAAAAGATATCAGTGCAGCCCTTTGCTTCTAATCTGTCAGCAAAAATAAACAAGACTTTGAAAGATGATCTACTAAATGTTCACATTTGTGCTCTGCACGTCTATGCAAGCTGTTAAAATACGATTTCATAAGTGTGATGCGTTCAGGCGTCTCAGCAGGTAGATCCTGCAGCAGATCCTCAGTCTGAGTCACATCAACACAGAACTGTCCCAAATCCTCCACAAGTCATCGGAGCAGCATGAAGGCTGTGGCGACATCAGAGGATGCAGCAGTTGTCAGATGAGCTTCACGTGTTCAGTCCTCCAGATTCACAGCTCCTGTCACAGCACCAGTTTAAAACAGGAGGAGAATCGATGAGGCAGAAACAGAAGCTGCTTTCAGCTCGTCCACTCGCCCACCATGCAGTGAATCAGTCACCTGCTCCATCGCTGCTTTAAACGTCTTCACTGTAAACTACAAACTGTCACGAGGCAGCGAGTCTTTGAGAAGCTGCACATCGATCCGCTCAGACCAGCACTGCAGCATCAGAAGGAGGAGGAGATGTTTGTGGTGAACAGAGCTGCAGAGACGTCAGTCTGTCAGGACTTCTGTCTGTGTACGTTCAGGATGCTGCAGTAAACACTTCACCTGCTGTTGAGTTTCCAGAACACACACTGAAGCGTTCTGCTGCTTAAACCTGTGCAGCAGCTAAACCACCTGAGTTCACTGGACAGGCTTCGATTCTACTCACATGCGTGCAGCGAGAAGTGTTTTCGCTCTGACGAGTTTCCAGCTGCAGAGATGGGAGGAGCCACGGACGAACCCAAAGACCCAACAGCTGGACGGGCGCCGACAGCGGCAGAAGAACCAGAAGAACTGGAGGAACCGGAGGAACCAGAGGAATCTCCTGCCTCCCCCAGAAGGTGCTGGATGGAGTGAAGCTGGAAACAGGGGTCGGACAGCAGGACGGAGGCAGCACGAGAAACCCTGAGAGGAGAAAGAAGAATCATGTTACACTGCACGGTTCCTACAAAACCAACCTCATCAGCCACCAGACACCAGACAGACCTCTGAAGGCACCACTCCAGGGTTCGGGTGATCACAGCCAGTGAGTAGCACCAAACCACGGCTGTCCTTATGTATCTGCAGTGAATATTAAAAACTTAAATGGTCCTTCTCAAAATATTCAAACTATGACGTTGTGCAGAAACATGAGACGTGAACATGAGCTTTATTAATGACCCAACAAAGTCCAAACCAGAAGAAGCAAAGACTTCCCAGAACTACAGAAAGACGGGCAGCAGATGTGAGTCCTGAGACTCTCTGCGTGACGGAGATGTGCTGTAAAGAACACGTGATGCTATATTTCTGATGGAGTCTCTTCATGGCTGTGGCGTCTGTTCTTAGAAGAACAGTTTCAGAACTTTTTCAGGTGAACCCGTTTCAGAAGGATGCTCAGGAGCCGGCCTGTCTGTCCATCACTCATAAAACTCCTCCTCTGCTCTTCCTGCGGCGCCACTCAAGCCAACCTCTGCATCAATCTTTCATAGTGAGGGTTTCCACCACAGCCCACTCGCTCTCTGCTTCCTCTCATTATGACTAACGGGAATCCCTCCTCTGTCTCATACCAACACCTCCTCTGGGAGCTGCTCATCCTCACTGGACTAAAGTACATCTACATCGTTTCCATGTTCCTTCTGCTGCTCAGCAGCTTGTTCTGACTGATCATCGTCAGTGTTCTGCACAGAATGAACCAGAGGAACCGACTCGTGTCATTCCTTTGACCTTCCACTGCAGCAGCACTGACGTTCACGTCCAGAAGCTCCTGTGACGGACGTCACTGAAGTTGTATGAACAGAAATGAAGGCGAAGAAGAACTTTGTGAGTGACTGCGCTTCAACTGGAAAATGTCACCGACTGCGTTCATCGTGTTTCCTCTTTAATTATCAGGCAGCAAAAGGCCAAAGCGTTCAGACTGAACGAGAGAGAAAAGAACATTTACCGCTGATCCCAGCAGCTGCTGCTTGGTGCTGAAGCTTCATCAAACACCAACACAGAAAATCTGAGGAACATTCACCAATCAGACCTTCTTTCTTCCTGATCGATTTGTTTCAGTTCTTGCAGTTTTTTCTCTCTGACGTGTCCTGATGATGAACCATTCACTTCACTGATCGGTTGGTTCATACAACTGACAGAGAAGCTGCTAGAATCAGGATCACTTATTGATTAGTGTGTGTGTGTGTGTGTGTGTGTTTCATCCCCTCAACCTCACATCAGGATGGAACAAACTGTGACCAAAACATAAACACAATCCAACACACAAACTACACACAGACCAATAACACAGCATGCAGACACACACACACACACACACACACACACCAACATCACTCTTCCGTAGAAATATTGAGGTTCGACTAAAATATAAATGACAGAGGTTCAAACTGGGGTTCGGGGCCCCTGTGAGGCTCCACAGTTTGACTGAACATCTTCTGTTTGTGTGACCAGGTGATAAACTCACCTGGTTTCAGGTAAATGTGACATCACACCTCTGTCCAGACTAATGATTGGTCTCTGAGCTGCTGTACCAACTGATGGAGACTAGTGAGGCGTTCAGGGAACATCTGGAAACTACAGCGTCTACTGGTGCCTGTGAGGCGTTCAGGTATTTCTTTCTTCTTTCCCTGTCTTTCGGGTTCCCATGCAGCTCTTGGTCAGAGGACGAGTCTAAATCATGTGAAACAGGGATGAGATGCTTCCTTCCTTCGTTCAGCCTGAGCTGCACAGAGTTTCTATAAACCAGCAGCATCGCCGTGGACTAAAAACACGTAGGTGGAGATAAAGAGTCATGAAACAACCAGTCTCATCTGTAGCTAACGTCTGCTGCTGAAGACTCAAAGGTCACAGAAAGGTCAGAAGCAATAATCATGCAAACGAGGCCTTTCACACGTTTATACAAATGAGGGGAACTGGAGCGACTGAGACCTGCCTGCTGCTGTTCCTGCTCTGTGGCGACGATGTTCGACCTTCAGAACAAACAGAAATATGATCTGAACAAACACATGATGGTGAATCTGTCACAGCAAAGAAGACGACGAAGGAGGTGAAGGTCTGAAGCCGGCAGAGAGGAGACCAACCAAAACTACAAATGGTTAAATATCTACAGGACGTGGAGACGATGGTTCAGTTCTGGTAACGTCTGTAATGTACAGAACAGAAGCCATGAAGGAGGTAGTCCTCTCCTCTCTGGTCTCCATGGTTCTGACTGAGTTCTGCTGACAGCAGACGTCTCTGAGTTCTGTCTTCTCCTTCATGTGGTTCTGGTTCCTCAGAGCTGCAGGACTTGATGCTGAAACATGAACCTCAGTGAAGGAGCAGGAGACAGAAACATGGTGTTAGAGGGTTCCAGGGTTTTTCCTTCAGTCATGAAGCTCATGGCTGAAGACAGTCAGGAGAGGCAGCTGAACAATGTTTGCTTTTGGATGAAATTACATTCAGACGTCAGATGAAAACAAACAATGAGCTGATCACTGAAGGACGCAGCAGCTGATGTTTGCTGTGAGCTCACAGAGAACACAAGCACGGATCAGAACTAACATGTTCTCCAGGTCCAGGTCTGCAGAGGAATCAAAGACACGGAGAAAAGAGCAGTCAGAACAGTCTGAGCAAAAACCTGGTCTGAGCTGATCTTGGTCCACATTAGTTGGTAATGTGACGGGTTTACTGGTCCAGTCTGAAACCAGTCTAACACTGGGCCAACCCCAGTCCAAGAGCAGCCCTAAACTAGTCTAACACTGGGCCGACCCAGTCCAAAAGCAGTTCCTAAACCAGTCTAAACCAGATCAAAATCCATCCTATCGCTAGTCTAACTCCAGTCTAAAAAGAAGTCTAAACCTAGTTTAAAACCAATCCTAAACCAGTCTAAACTGGTTGAAAATCCAGCCAAACACTAATCTAACTCCAGTCTAAAACCAGTTTAACATCTCCCAGTTAAATGTGGACGTTACCATGGAACCGTCCAGAACAGCATCCTTCACCGGCTACGTTAACGATCAATAATCCATTCAGAGTTTATTTTCCACATGCCGATCAAACTGCTATTAACCACTGACCTAAATGTTCACTGCACTGATGTTAATAATTATTCTATTAATTACAGTTAATTATTCAATCATTTAAAAATATATTAGCTGAAAAAGCAGAAGGTCATGATGTCAGTAAACGTATCGTAGACCAGCTGCAGTACCGGGTTGTTCCACCAAGGGGAGCCTCTCACTGTTTAATCCTGTGGGGACCAGAGGAGGCGTCTACAGACTACAGCTCCTGGTGGCAGCAGAGAGCATTGTGGGAGTTTAGCAGTAACAGGACCATGACAGAGACTCTGAGGAGGTTCAGGACCTCCAAGCAGAGCTCATGATGGAAACTAAAGGGTTGTATTATAATAAAGGGGTTATAATAAATGTGTCCCTGGTTAAAGATGTCCTCATTAGCCAGCAAAGAAACAATCACCAGTCTTCATTCACTGTAATCATTAAACGACTGTCGACAAGTCCGACTACAGTGAAGAACCCGAACCCTGAATCTGCATCCTCAAACCCTAACCCTGTCTCTAACTCTTAATGTGTGCGCCACCATAGCATCGTTAGCCTCAGGTAGCTAACTGGACCAGACAGACGGGTTTAACAGCTTGATGCTGCAGCATGACTCCAAACATCTCCTTATTCTAGCTTCCTCCTGGTTCTGACCCTGTAGAACCAGGACCTCCTCCTCCTGGTTCTGAACCTGTAGAACCACAACCTTCCTCTTGGTTCTGATCCTGTAGAACCAGAAGCTCCACCTGGTTCTGACCCTGTAGAACCAGAACCAGTTAGTCATCAGCATTCTAAAGTGTAGACTGAATGAGTGAATCTAATGTGAAGCTCAGGCGCTGGTGAACGACCAGGTTTGATTTCAGACTGAATGTGCTGAAGCTCAGACTGCAGACGTAGAATAGAAAAGAATAGAATAGAACAGAACAGATAGAATAGAATAGAACAGATAGAATAGAATAGAATAGAATAGAATAGAATAGAACATAGAATAGAATAGATAGAACAGAATAGAATAGAATAGAATAGAATAGAATAGAATAGAATAGAATAGAATAGAATGCTTTTATATGTAGGACGTACAACGCGGTGTGAAGTGAGCGCTACACACGACCAGTTAGATTTACATCAAACAGCAGCAGCTTCTCTCCTGTGGCAGCGTCTCAGATAGTACGAGAGAGAGCTGAGCTGAACACAACAAAGAGTGAAGCAGAAATAGAAGCAGCAGAGAGGAGGGTCGCTGGGCGGAGGATGCTGAGGGGGAGGAGGTTCATCCAGAGACGGAGAGGTGGAGCTGCACACAGCAGAGCAGCAGCTCAGAGCTGCACACAGCAGAGCAGCAGCAGCATCTCTGTGCTGCTCCTCGTCTTCCACCAAACAGCAGAGCAGCTGCACATCATCCAGAGCTCGACCCGAGTGGACGGCTGCTGACAGAATCTGAGCTCAGCTGGGATTCAGAAGAAGAGAAAGAGATGCTGCACGAGATGAAAGTCCTCCGTCAGCCGAGGAGACACAGAGCGAAGACGGAAACTTGACCATTTGTTTGCAGAAACGGAAGTTGACTGTGGACCTACTAATTAACACGACTGCTGATTAACTGTCAGCGGTACAGAGCAGCAGGTCGGAGGACGTGGAGGCAGAAGGTGAGAGGGTCTGCTGGGTTCTGTTCCTCAGGCTGTTCTCCTATAGAACCACTTCTTTTACTCCACTTGTGCAAACAGCCGGATGACTCTGAAAGTGTTGTTTCACACACTTTTTTCCTTCATTATTTTGCAACCTGAATATTTCCGTCCTGACCTTTCCTGGCTGTGTGTGAGGCTGAGCAGCTGCTTCCTACTGAAGGACAGGACTTGTTTACTGCAGCACACCTGGACAGGCTTTAACTCCGGCACCTCTCCCCTCTTGTTTCCTGTTCAGATGGCAGCTGTGCTGGCAGGTGGATGCAGACGCAGCCGCCTCATTCCACATTAACCGGGTCAGACCACATAAACCATCAGAGCGGCGCTGGAAGCATAAACGAACGGAGCGATCATGCATCACAGTGACAGTATGTTTGTGCCCTGCAGCCTAAACACAACTAATCAGATGAGGCTTCTGTCCTGAACGATGGCAGACTCAGAGTGAAGGATCCAAACATTTACACCTGTGGAGGAACAGAAGCAGAGAAGAAATGCAGAGAAGCTGCAGGAGGAAGGCTGCTGCATCATGTGAGACGGAGCACAGAGATTGAAGGATGTGAACAAAGTGCTGACTGACAGTAAGAACGAGTTGGGATCATGCTGCATGCTGGAGACTCTCTGCAGGGCATCGCGGCGCCGTTGTGGTGTCATGTTGTTGTGATGTTAGTGTGTCTGTGGCTGAGCCCCGTCTGGGCCGACAGCTGCCCGCCACAGGCCGGATGCTTGTGCGCCGCCGACATCCTCAGCTGCACCGCCCTGGGCCTGCAGCAGGTACCGGCAGAAATGCCCATCTTCGCCGTCACTCTGGATCTCAGCCACAACCGGATGGTGCAGCTGGAGGCCGGCAGCTTCACTGGACTGAATCGGCTGGAGACGCTACGCTTAGCGCACAACCAGCTGAACACCATCCGCTCGGGGGCGTTCAGGAACTCCTCCGGGACTCTGCTGCGGCACCTGGACCTGTCGTCCAATCAGCTGCGTGTTCTGGAGCAGCACTACTTCCAGGAGCTGCCCGGATTGGAGGAGCTGCTGCTGTTCAACAACCGGATCGTGCACGTGGAGAGCAGAGCTCTTGCCGGGCTGACAAACCTCCGCAAGGCCTACCTCAGTCACAACCGCCTCACCGACTTCCCCTTCTTCTCCATCCAGAAGCACAGCCATCCTCACCTGTCCACACTGGATCTGTCGTCCAACCGCCTGCCCAAGCTGCCCCTGGAGGACATCTCCAACCTGCCCCTAGCGGTGCAGGAGGGCCTGTACCTGCACAACAACTCCCTGGTGTGTGAGTGCTCCATGTATGGCCTGTTCAGGTTCTGGGAGCAGAGGGGCTTCAACTCTGTCAAGTTCTTCCAGCAGGAGCACATCTGTCTGGTTTACGGACTGCAGAGAGGAACTTTGCGCTTCTTCCAGTCTGGGCGCTACTTTGAAAAATGCAACCTGACGGCGCTGAAGGAGCCCCTGAAGGAGCAGCAGAGCAGCGTGTCCGTGAAGGCGGGGAAGGCGTTGCTGCTGCACTGCGTCACCTCGCTGTCCGGCCGCAGCGTCACCTTCCTCTGGGTGGCGCCTAACTGGGAGTACGTGGTGCCGCCGGGGAACAACGGATCTCTGAAGATGTTCGCCAACGGCAGCCTGGAGATCGTGGCGGCGCGCGAGCAGGACTCTGGGATCTACTGGTGCATGGCCCTGGACCAGCAGCGGCAGCAGAACGAGACCTGGGAGGTGAACGTGACCGTGGTGCTGCATCACGACGGCGACGGCCATGAGCCTTTCAACACCGGATTCACCACCCTGCTGGGCTGCGTGGTGAGCCTAGTGCTGGTCCTCATGTACCTGTACCTGACGCCCTGCCACTGCCCCCCTTGCCCCAAGGCCCACCCCCCGGCCGCCGCCACATCGACGCCGGGGAACGAGGCTGGGCCGGGCAGTGCCCAGTCCTCCATCCTCACCCCAACTCCGCCAGCAACTACCGAGGGCCCGGGCCGCAAGGTCAGTACCAACAAACATGTGGTCTTTCTGGAGCCAATCAGCGAGCAGCAGAATGGCAGACTGAGGGTGGGGCAGGGGTCGGGGCTAACAGTGTCCAGTTTACTGATCGGTGCCGAGCAGCAGCCGCGACTCCACCGAGCCACTGAGACGGACTCCATCATGTCCGTCGTCTCAGACACGCCCATCATGTTGCCATAGCAACAGACTCAGACTGTCACTACACCCCCCACCCCCCACCTCCACCCCCCACCTCCACCCCCCACCTCCACCCCCAGCACTGACCTGAGCAGAACAGTAACCAGCTTCACTCGAACTCATCTGTCCAAGTGCAATTCTAAGATGTTCAATAATGTTAACCAAATGAGTTATTGTTTGCGCAGGTCTGAACACTGACCCAAGAACCACCACTGTGACGGGACTCAGACTGACGGGGCGGGGCTGGGGGTGGGGCCGGGCCAGGGCCAGTTAAACCAGTTAAACTCATCTAAAGGACCAAGACCTCAGCATGAACTGATCCCTTTAATATTGTACCTTTAATAAACATTAGCTCCAGATGCCTTCTCTCGTAAACATATTGGTTCTTACAAGGTTCTTCAGAAAGCTCTCTGGTTCTTCAATCACCAACTGAAGAGCATCTGTATTTAGAGGATGGTTCTTCATTATGTGGTTCTTTATAGGTTCTTCATGTCTATTCTTTGGTTTAGCAGCAGGTTAGAGCATGAAATCAGAGCTGCAGCTAAACAGTTTTATTCTGGATGAATCATTTGTTCTAGAAAACATCAGAAATCAGAGAAATGTTCATCCCGAACTGCCATCTTAGAACATGTTATTCTCTGTGACCAATGGTACAGAATCCAAAATATTAAATGTGTTCTACTGGAAGGAACCAAGAAATTCTTACTTAAATCTAATCCTGTTGTCAGAACAGAAACAGGTGGGTCCACAAAGAACTGTTTGGAACTGGGTTCCTTAAAGGTCCTGGTTGTATAAAGCACCAAAGGGAACTGTTTTGGATGGTTCTTTGAGCTATCCAAATAACCTGTTCTCTAATGGATTTCTTGCTAAAGGTTCTTTGTGGAACTACAAACAATTGTTCAGAACTTCAGAAGCTCTTTAGTTCTTGAAACGAGTGAAAAAACCTTTTCTGGCAGGGGATGGTTCTTCACATCCTATGTGGTTCTTTAACAGGTAAAAAACAACCAGACTTCTCTTGTTGGTTCTTGAGGTGTCCTCTAGGTTGAAGTCCAGCTGCTCTTTACGAAATCTCTGAAGTAAACACGGTTCTTCTATGGCATCACTGTGAAAAGACTTATTGGTTCCAGTTAGCGCCTTTATTTCTCTGAGTGTTCTGGTCTCGATGTCGATAGAACAGATCTTTTGTAGCTATTCTTTCTGTTGATTCGAGTGTCGTTCTGTCACCATGTGAGGCGTTCTACACAAGAAAAGCTTTCAGCGAGTAAAAATAGCAGCTGTTTTAAAGGAACCTCCTGCTGGAGCTCAGTCATCATCCGTCAGAGCAGGAGGAGCAGAAACAACAATAGAGAGACGGATAAATAAATAAAACACCTCCCAAGCAGCAGCTGAAATTATTCATGCTGCCAAGAAGAGAGTTCGCTCGGAGGAACTTTCTGTAAAAGTTTGATCAATGGCCACAGAGAGAAGGTTTGTTTGGTGGGTCTGCAGCGTGACGGACGGACAGACGGACGGCCAGGTTTCTGTTTATTGTCTTCACTGTATTCACTGCACTCACTGTCTGTTAATAAACTGTATCTGACCGTCTTCTGCCTTCTTCTTGTGTCACTGCTCATGTTGGTGCACAACACTGGAGTGAAGCGTGCATGGATGTGTGCAGCCACAGTCTTTGCATTTTCAGCCTCCACTGGATGAACAGAGCACAAACAATGAGCTCAGCTTGTCCCCACACATTCTACACCAGCAGCTCGAGTCTGAACGACCGACACGTCACGCCAACATCACAGGAAGCAGCTGTTGCAAAGCAAAGGCCGACAACACCAACAAAGCACACCTATGCTGTTGCTGCATCACAGTAAATATTCTGAGGAAGCTGCCACAACACAGACACATGGTCAGCTCCAGCAGCCTGGTCCACTGGTCTACTGGTGAACATCAACATGTCCAGAACTCAGCTATCAGAGGTCTCACGAGAGCAGGAACATCATTTTATGTCCTCGTATTCCTCCAGCTTTGATTTTCTTTATTCAGTGTGTCACTGTGGATCAGTCCTTTAGCCCGTCCCCATGTTTCACTAAAGTCCTGCAGCTCTGTGGAACCAGAACCACATGAAGGAGGAGACAGAACTCGGAGACGTCTTCTGTCAGCAGAACTCAGAACCATGGAGACCAGAGAGAAGAGGAATACCTCTTCCATGGCTTCTGTTCTGAGTGTTATAGATGTTACAGCACTGAACCATCATCTCCACATCCTGTTTACTAATCCAGTAGGTCGGATTCTCCTCTCAGTCTCTGTGAGGAAGGTTCTGGTGCTACAGGGTCAGAACCAGGACGAGGAAGGTTCTGGTTCGACAGGACTAGAATCAGGAGGACGAAGGTTCTGGTTCTACAGGGTCAGAACCAGGAGGAGGAAGGCTCTGGTTCTAAAGGGTCAGAACCATGAGGAAGGTTCTGCTTCTACAGGATCAGAACCAGGAGGAGGAAGGTTCTGGTGCTACAGGGTCAGAACCAAGAGGAAGGTTCTGCTTCTACAGGATCAGAATCAGGAGGAGGAAGGTTCTGCTTCTACAGGGTCAGAACCAGGAGGAGGAAGGTTCGGGTGATCCTGGTGGATCTTTTGGGTCAGTGTTCGGGTTATCCTGGTGGATCTTCTGGGTTGGGGTTAGGGTGATCCTGGTGGATCTTCTGGGTTGGGGTTAGGGTGATCCTGGTGGATCTTCTGGGTTATGGTGATCCTGGTGGATCTTCTGGGTCAGGGTTCGGGTGATCCTGGTGGATCTTCTGTGTCAGGGTGATCCTGGTGGATCTTCTGGGTTAGGGTTAGGGTGATCCTGGTGGATCTTGTGATGGAACCACTCATGTCTTTGTTGTCGTTCTGTTTCTGCTGACCAATGCTGTGGTTGGAGGTGTTTGTTTTAAAGGTAGCAGGACTCCAGCCTGTCGCTGTGTTTTGTTCTTCATGATGTTTTTGGGCTGTTGTTGTAGATCAGTGGAGCAGGGACAGGAAGCTTTTAGAGGGCAGACGGGTCAGAACCAAGCCATGGCCACTGTTCTGTGGGTTGGTTCTGAACCACAGTCTGGAGTGAGATCAGCTGAATGGGGTTTATCATGAACTGCTAGCATGCTAGCTGTCCCAGAATAGCGTCTACTGGTGACTGTGAGGCGTTCAGGGAGCATCAGTAAACTGCAGCAGCTGTAGCTCAGCAGATGTTCAGGGAGAGTTCTGGTTGAGTTTAACTCATGTTCAGCCTCCAGGAGATTCTGTGTTCAGCTGCAGATGTGAGCATCAGAAGGAAGAAGCTCAACAAAAGTGAAGCAGAACTGAGTGAGCTCTGTGATGTCAACACAAATCCGAACAGCTCTGATTTGTCCATGATGCTGGAGCTGTGAGCAGCCTCAGACTGAACGAACACGTCCGACCAGATCAGCTTCACTGGAAAACATTGACGCTAATTAACGTCGTCTTCATGTGAAGTTCACGTTGTTTTATGTTGTTTCCTTTTTTCAAATGTCACAAAACAATACACGAAGAAAACATTTAGAAATTCTGATTAATTTGTGAAAAAAAGAAAAAAAACAAGAAAGTATAAACTATATTAAAACATTTGTATTTGAACAGTTAATTTTTCTGAATGTACAAACATTTCACGAGTGTTTACAGATATTCAGAACGTAACTAAATGTGCATGTCAGTGCTCCACAGTGACCTGTGAGTTCTGTTGACACCGGGCCAGCACATACTGAAACCGTATCAATCTGCCTTCAGCAGCTTCACGCCGTGATTCTCATCCAGCCGATCAACCCGAACCCTATCAGCCGATGTGCAGCCAGACATGACTGCTGATCCTCATGCAGGTCCGATACGGAGCCATTATTCTGCAGCGCCACACGATCGAAAGAGCTGAAACCACAACGACTGGAAAGAGCTGCAGCTTAGAAACAGCATCCAGGAAACGCTCAGAGTCACATCAGAACCGCACATGGAACACGTAGACCCAGAGACGTCCACCACTTCAGGTCATCATCAGAACAAATATCCACCAGAGAACATCTGTCTGGTTTAGTTTCCTTCATTCTGTTAAAACCAATCAGTCCTCAGAACATCTGGTTCTGTATCTGCAGAACCTTTATCTACTGACCAGAGTTCCACCTTCAGACTGTGAATGTTCCAGAGGTCCAGGTTCTTGAAGTCCACAGAGGAGGGTCCAGATTGATCACCTTAATGGACTTTTTCCATCATTTCTGAGCCTCAGAACTTCATCAGAACAGCAGATAGACACATGACATTTAGGAGGAAGAACACATCTGGGTTCTGGTAGAAACTGACACCAGATCAGTTCTACATCCATCCAGGTGTCTCAGTCTGAACACTGGACCTGGTTCTGTTCATGTCCTCTGTCAGCAGCTGGTAGCATCAGTATTATGGGATGGATCATGGTGGTACCAGTTTAATGTCTATGACACAGAGTCACAGAAGCAATCATTGGTACCCTGGATGTGGTTCTGGTTCTGATCAGTCACCAGAGGAAACTTTACAAAGTGCATTCTGGGTAAACTTTCCAGGCTCATACCAGCATGTGTGATGGTGGTTGGTCAGAACCAGTTCTAGACGATGGAAGGACCTTTTTTTTTTTTTTTTAACCTCCAGAACCTACCAGAACCATCCTTATTTTTAATCATTTGATTGACTTTGTCTCTTCAGACTCTGGTCCTGGTGTTCAGAGATCATCCATGATTAAACTCATGGTCTCTGGTTCTGTTGTGTTCAGACTCCCATCAGCTGGACTGAGAGCCAAAGGATGTGATGCGGTTCCACAGAATGCAGGAGATCTTCCATCGGCCTCCTCCAGAGCAGTCAACATGTGACTGGAGCTCCTAAACACAAACACTGAGCTCAGAGAGAAACAATTCTTCTGCTGTCAGTCGTCAGGTTAAACCAGTAACAGACTGATGTGGGTGGACTCTGGTCTCTGTGGTCCCTCTGGGTCCCTGTGGTTCCTGTGGGTC